ATTTTGGGGACCCCCGTCCCCTCACCTGCCCTGCCGTGCATCTCTCTGTGCTGCCGGGATGGCTCCGAGGACTCATCCGAGCACTGAAACGGTGCCAAAGGGGGTGCAGGGTTAGGGGGCACCCCAAATCCCCCGAAACGCCCCCAAAACACCCCCAAATCCCACCTCGTTCCCCGACCAGCGCTTGCTGCCGCTGTCCACGCTGTGGAAGCCGGAGTCCAGCCCCCCTCGCTGCCGGAGGGGACACGACTCATCCGGGGGGCTGCGGGGAGGGGGCAAACAGCGCTCAGAGACCCCCCAAAAACAACGGGGCGCCCCCTCCCCGAGCCCCCTCTTTACCATGCTGGGGCAGGATGGGCGTCAGCCTCGGCTTCCAGGTACTTGAAGATGTGGACTTTGCCCTTCAGGCAGATCTGGGGGGGCACAGAGGGCTCAGCGGAGCTTTTGGGGGGTCGGGGGGACGCCCCGGGACGCTCCTCACCTGGGCAGGGGGGAACTGGAGCGGGTTGTTGTCCGCCAGGAGGGTCTGGAGGTGCCGGAGCCGGCGGAAGCAGCGCGGAATCGCCACCACCCGGTTGCAGGAGAAATCCAGGCGGACCAGGGGCAGCTCCGAGAGCTCTGCCGGGGGGAACACGGGATGAAGGGGACCCTAAAAAAGCGGAGGGACCCCCCCCAGGACCCTCACCCACCCTCGGGCAACGCTGCCAGCTGGTTCCGCCGCACGTTGAGGTCCCGCAGCGCCCGCAGCTGCCCCAGCCCCGGCGGCAGCGCCCGCAGCCGGTTACAGCCCACGTCCTGCGGGGCGAGACGGGGCTCAGCGGGGTCCGGCGCGGCCCCGCGGGGTCCCTCCGGCCCGGGCCAGGCTCACCAGCTGCCGCAGCGTGCGGAGGGCGCCCAGGTTCGGCGGCAGCCGGGCCAGGCGGTTGTTGCTGGCGTTGAGGACGCGGAGCGGCAGCAGGCACAGGCAGGCGGGCAGCGAGCTCAGCTGGTTGCGGCTGCGGAGGGGACACGGCGGGGTCAGGGCGCTGCTGCTGGAGCTCCCCGGTCGCACCGGCGGGGCTGGAGCGTACCTGAGGTCCAGGTGAGCCAGGGCCTGCAGGTTGGCGATGGCCGGGGGGACGCTGCGCAGGCAGTTGTGGTGCAGGCTCAGCCCTTCCAGAGAGACCAGGCGGCAGGCGGCCTCCGGCACCTCCCCGAAACGGTTCCGGACAGGTCTGGAGGGAGCCGGGGCAGCGTGTGGGACAGCGGAGGCGGCCCGCAGGGACGGGGCATTCACGGGGATAGGGAACGACGGGGACAAGGCAGCCTCAGGAAGGGACTAATGGGGATAAAGGACGCCCTGGGATAAGGACAGAGGGACGCAGAACCGCGGGGACAGCGGTGCTGATGGACCCCGAGCCGCCCGGCTGAAGCTCGGGGACGCTGAAGCCGCCGGACCGCCCGGACCGGGAGCTCCGGCTCGTCCCGTCCCGGCGCCTCCGGCAGCTCCCGCGGGCCTCGGGCTCCGGGACGCGCCGAGGGAGGCGGGGCAGCCACAGCTTCCCCTGGGAAACACCCCAAGGGACCCGGAGCTGTGGGGAAGGGTCGGGGATCCTGCCCCGGGGCCGCGGTCTCACCGGCCTGGGTGGTGTCGCTGAGGTCCCAGCGCCGCGCCGCCGCCGCCGGGAAGGCGCGCAGCCGCCGGCCGGCCAAGCTGAGGGTGCCGGAGGCCTCTGCTTCTTCAGGGCGCGCTCCGTGCCGGCTCCTCCGGGCAGGCGGCCCGGCAGCGGCAGCGGCTCAGCCGGGACAGCCCCCACCGCCCCCGCGGCCATGGCGGGCCCGGAGCTCCGCTCGCCGCGGCCGCCTCTGCCCGACTGAGCCCCGGACGCTTCCGGACCCCGCCGCGGGGGCGGGGCCAGAGCGGAAGCCAATCAGAGCAAGGGGCGCGCGGGGAGAAGACGAATCGGAGAGGGGCAGTGGGGGGCGCTGCCTGGAGAAATGCGGAAGTTTGGTCTTTGATTGATAGGTAGGTTGAACCAATCGTCGTCAAGTGATGGGGGGATGCTGCCCAACTGCAGCCAATCATGGCTAAAACACAATCTCCACCAATCCCGTGAAGATCGTTGCCTGGCAACGGCCACGAAAATTTTGGCGGCACCAGCCAATGGAAACCGAGGAGGCGGGAGAAGCGTCCGAGGATTGACGTGGCACCAACCAATCGCGTTTGACGCAAAAGCGGGATAATAAAAACCCTGCTCGTGGCCGGGGCATGGCAGCTCCACCAATCAGGAGTTACGGCAATGATTGACAAGCAGAGAAGGTGTCCGCGCCCCGATTCCTTCAGCCCCACCCATTGCTCCTCTTAAAGGAGCCGCACCTTTTAAAGGGGGGGTGTCCCTTTGCGGGGGGGGTCCCCATTTTAGGGGTCCCATTTTGGGCGTCTCATTTTGAGGCCCCAATTTTGAGGGTCTCATTTCGAAGTCCCCATTTTGAGGATTTCATTTTGAGGGTCCCATTTTGAGGGTCTCATTATGAGGGCCGCATTTTGGAGTCCCCATTTTGAGGGTCCCATTTTGAGGGTCCCATTTTGAGGGTGGTCTCAATTTTGGGTGTCCCCATTTTGAAGCTCCCATTTTGGGTCCCCATTTGAGGGTCCCATTTTGGGGCTTCCATTTTGAAGTCCCCATTTTGCCGTCTCCCCCTTTGAATGCGTCGCCCGGCCTCTCTCCCCCCAGACCCCTCACGCACACGCTCCATCTCTGCACCCTTTATTACCGAATGCTCGGGGGGCACCCCGCGGCCCGGGGCGGGGGTCTCAGGGCCGGGGCCCCTCAGGGGCTCCCCCGACACGGCCTCTTGCTGAGGTTGCCCAGCAACTGCTGCTGCTGCGGGCGGTAGGGCACCACGAAGGCGTCGGGCGGCAGCAGCGCCGCCCCGTCCGCGCCCAGCCGCCCCATCAGGACATAGCTGGAGCCTGCAAGGGATTTCGGGAGGGGGCGTCAGGGCCGGGGCGCCCGAACAGAGCCCCGCGGGCTCCCCCGGGCACACGCACCTTTCTTGAGCGAGGGGCAGAGGCGGCAGGGCAGCTGCAGCCGCAGCGAGGAGCCTTGGCGGGCTGAGGCAGCCCCAGCGGCGCCGCCGCCTTGAACACGCCGAGCACGGAGAGCACGGCCCAGCCCGGCTCCTGCGGAGGGCCCCGCGACACCGACTTCACCGTCCCGGTCAACACTGCAGGGACGGGAACGGGGGTCAGGGTTCCTAAAGCTCGGGGGTGGGGGTTTGGGGGGGGCCGGCCTCATTTCCCTCACGGATTTGGGGAATTCTCCAGTGCCCAGCCTCAGGTTCCTCTCAGGGCTCTGCAGAATTCTCCAGAACTTTCTGCCCACTCCTTGCCTCAGTTTCCCCTCATGGTTCTGGGGAATTCTCCAAAGCTTTTTGGGTCTCCTGGCCTCAGTTTTCCCTCACGGATTTGGGAATTTTTCTAGCGCCCGGCCTCAGTTTCCCCTCATGGTTCTGGGGAATTCTCCAAAGCTTTTTGGGTCTCCTGGCCTCAGTTTTCCCTCACGGATTTGGGCATTTCTCTAGCGCCCGGCCTCAGTTTCCCCTCATGATTCTGGGGAATTCTCCAAAGCTTTTTGGGTCTTCCTGCCTCAGTTTCCCTCATGATTTTGGGGAATTCTCCAGAACTTTTCGAGTGCTCCCTGCCTCACTTTCCCCTCACAATTTTAGGACATCCTCCACGCCCATTCCAGGCTGTCCCTCCCCGTTTTTTCGGGGTGTTTCTCACCGAAGTCGCTGCTGCAGAAGTTGCTCTGCAGGGTCCCGGCGCGGCGGCAGCGCTGGGGGCAGGGGGCGGCCGTGGCGGGGGGCTCGGCTTTGGGGCTGGGCGGCGCCTTGGCTTTGGAGCCCCCCCGGGGCTTCGGGGCGGGGGTCTCGGGGGTCTCGCTGCCTCCTGCGGGGTCCCGCAGGGTGTAGGAGGCCGAGAAGCCGTCGGCGGGTGACGCTCAGGTCGGACACGAACTGCACCAGCAGCTCCGGGGAGCTGGACACGATGGGGCTGGGGGTTTGGGGGGTCAGGGGGATTTGGGGACACGATGGGGCTGGGGCACGGGGGTCAGGGGGGTTTGGGGGATTTGAGGGGCATGGGGGGTCAGGGGGGCATGGGGACACGATGGGGCTGGGGGCATGGGGGGGGTCAGGGGGATTTGGGGGGGTCAGAGGGTTTTGGGGGGGGTTGGCTTTGGGGGCTCTGGGGGGGTCAGGGGGACATGGGTTCCCAGGTGGGTTTGGGGGGTACTCAGGGGGTCCAGGTGGGTTTGGGGGGGTCCCAGGTGGGTTTGGGGGGTACTCATGGGGTCCAGGTGGGTTTGGGGGGTCCCAGGTGGGTTTTTGGGGTGCTCAGGGGGTCCTGGTTGCTGTCGGGGGGGATTTGGGGGGCTCGGGAGGGTTTAGGAAGGACAGGGACATTTTGGGGTGGCTCACACAGGGTTTGGGGCGGGCCGGGGGTCTCGGGGGGGCTCACCCGGGGGTCTCCTCCCCACAGAAGCGGCCGAGGCGCCGCGCGTCGTCCCGCGCCCCCCCTCGAACACGGCCACGTAATCGTAGCGGCAGTGAGGGTCGGGCTCCACGTCGAACTTCCCGAACCGCAGCTCCACCACCTGCACAACCCCCCCGGGAACCGTGCTGAGACCCTCGGAACCCCCCGGGTGAGCCCCCAGACCCTGCAGACCCCTCCCCAAATTCCCCCGAGCCCCCCTGAACCATCCTGCTCCCTGCTTGGCCACCCCGGACATCCCCTTGTGACCCCAAAAAAGGATTCCTGACCCCCAAAAGGAGTTCTGACCCCCCAAAGGAATTTTTGACCCCCCCCCAAACCCCCCCAGACTCACCGAGCCCCCCCTTCAATACCCACAAATCCCTCCTGACCCTCCCCATCCCCCAAATCCGATCTCCCCAAATCCTCCTGACACCCCCAAACCCCCTGTGAACCCCCCAGGACCCCCAGACCTTGCCGGGGGGGGCCACGATGTGCCAGGAGCAGCTGATGCCGGGTGGATAATTCTCCTCGGGCCAGTTCGGGGTGCTCAGGCTGCCCTGGGGCTTCTCCAGCCGCCCGCCACAAAACTGATGCTCTGGGGGCGGGTGGGGGTCACGTTTTTGGGGGGCACAGACACCTTCGGACCCCCTCCCTTCTCCCCACACCGCCGGCGTCTCCTCTGTCCCTGAGACCCCCCCCAAAATCTGGGGGGGAAATTTGGGGGGAGCTCCGCCAAAACCACCCTGGGACTGTTGGGGGGACATGGAATTTGGGGAGTGAGACCTCCCCCCGGGAATGTTTTCTGTAAATTTTTGAATTTTAAATTTTTTTTGGGGGAGGGAGATGGAATTTGGGGAGTGAGATTCCCCCCCCCGGGAATATTTTTGTAAATTTTTTTTAAAATTTTTTTTGGGGGGGGGGGGTCGTACTCACCGTCAAAATAGTGCCAGGACTCCCCGAAAAAATGGGGTTTATTAAAGACCCCCGAGCGCCGCCGTCCCTGGGGGGCCCTGCAAAAGGGTTGGGCTGGGTTGGGGGGGGCCTGGGGGTCTCCACGGGGCGTTTTGGGGCAGCTTTGGGGTTTCTTTTTTTGAGGGATTTTGGGGCAATTTGGGATGTTCCATGCGGCTTTGGGGGGGTCTTTGTATGGATTTGGGGTCTGGGTGATTTTGGGGTCTCAGTGCTCCCCTTTCCCTCTCAGCTTTTCTCTCCATTTTGTGCCATTTTTTTTGTGCCAAAAAAAATGAAGTTTCCTTCATTTTGTGCCATTTTTTTTTGTGCCAAAAAAATAAAGTTTCCTTCATTTTTTTCCTGACACTTTGCTCCATTTTACTCACTGGCTTTTTTTCTCCAATTTCTTTCTTTTCACTAATTTTTCCCTCAGTTAAAAAAAAAAAAATTCAGTTTTTCTCCCCTCATTTTTCTTTTCCTCTTATTTTTCTCCTTTCCCTTTCACACTTTCCTCCCCTTTTCTCCTCAGCTTTTCCTCCTTTCCTCCCTTGCACTTTTCCCTCATTTCCCTGTTTTCTCCTCAAACTTTCCCCCCATTTCCTCTCCACCCTTTTCCATTTCTTCATCACACTTTTCCTTAATTTCTCTTTTTTTATTCTCTCACTTTTCTCCCCAATTCCCTATCGGGGTTTTCCCTTTCTGTTTTCAGTTTCACAGTTTTCCCTCCTTTTCCATTCACATTTTCTCCTCATTCCCACTGTTTTTCCTCATTCCTACTCTTTTTTTCCTCATTCCCACTGTTTTCTGCTCATTCACACTCCTTTTTCCCTCATTCCCATTGTTTTCTTTAATTCCCACTGTTTTTTCCTCATTCCCACTATTTTCATTCCTAGTGTTTTTTATTAAAAGTGTTTTAATAAAGTGTTTAATAAATAAAGTGTCCTAGTATTCCTTATTCCCACTGTTTTTTCTCCTCATTGCCACTGTGTTATTTTCTTCTCATTCCCACTGTTTTCCCCTCATTCTTACTGTTGTTTTTCCCTCATTCCCCCTCTCCTCACACTTTTCCCAATTTCACCTGCTTTTCCCTCTTTGCCATCTCTCTCCAGGGAGTCCTTTTGCCCTCACATCCCTCACATTTTGGGGCTCTTTATGGCACTTTGAGGGTTTTTTTTTGATCTCTCCACATTTCCAGGGAGTCTCTGGGTGGTTTTGGGGGTGTCCCCCCGGGCCTGTCCCTGCTCCCCACCGGCGGTGCTCCCCGTTTTTGCCCCGGGGGTCTCTCCCCGTTACCCACCGTGGCTCGGGGGGCTGCCGGCGCTGAACCAGGCCAGGAACCCCCGTCCGGCCGTTGGCGCCGTCGCTC